TTGCGCTTGCGCAGCAGGCGGTGGAACCACTGAGCTAAATCCCTGGCCCAATCACTTGTATTTTTGTAGGCAGGCTGATTCTACCTTAAATTATTAGTTGTTTTCAGAAGATTGCACAAGATCCATAGTCCTTTGTGTTGCTGGAAATACAAGTCTCTGATTTCTGTTTTATCTTGAAAATTTTGTACATTGCTTTTATAAATTTAAAAATGAAGGGCCTGGAATTTAGCTCAGTGGCGCCACGCTTGCCTGGCAAGCGCAAGATCCTGAGTTCAGTCCCCAGTCCAAAAAAAAAAAAAAATTAAAAACACATATGAATAAATAGATTGTGAAAAACACCCCTTGGAAGGTCACTTTTCAGCAGTAATTTAGTATATGTGCTGCCGAAGCAAGCACTCAACAGTAATTATTTTCAGTAGTTTGGTACATATTCTTGTACCTGTATGCTTTGTATTTAATTTTTAAATGTTACTGTTGTCCTTGTTGTTGCCAACCTGGAACTATGCATAGATACGCTAGTCCAGAACAAGCTTTTTTCACTTAGCAGTCTGTGCTAGACATTTTCCCCATGTTGGTATGTACCTCATTCTTTCTGACTAGTACATCATTGTTTGTATCCCCCACCCTTACAGAACCTCTGTGCGCTGGGGCCGACCCCCATGAACTGCAACATCTGGGCTTCCTTGCCCTTCTCTTCTACTTGGACAAAATGAGGAGGGAGAAGGACTATGGATTTAGCTCAGTGGCACCCCGCCTGCCTCACAAGCGCAAGGTCCTGAGTTCAATCCCTGGTACCAAAAAAGAAAAAAATGAGGGAGAGATCATACTGCTCTTTATTGCCCCCATGGGAAGACAGCCTTCTCTCTTCTTGTCCTTTCAGGCTACAGGGTAGAAATAGCTTCTTGCTATTATTAGTCTCTGGTTTCCTCATTATTCTTCATTGATGCCTTTACTCTGCTCACAAGAGAATAACAACGCTGTCATTGAACGTTCTTCAATTTATCCTTGTGCACATGCTGTTTCCTGTTAACATTTCCACTGATAGCACTTATTTGTCGGCTCCCAGTTGGGCATTCTTGCTGTTCAGATGGTTTTCCCCTTACAGTCAGTGTTGCTAATGTGCACCCTGTATGCACCCTTTTTACTGTGTGTTGAAGCGTTGCTTGAGGGAAAAGCCATAGAAGTCCTGAGTCAAGGCGATGAGTGTTGTAAATTTCAGTAGATACTTGGACATTGCTCTCCAAAGAGTCTGCCAACTTACACTTTTACAACGTGTTATTTTTTAATAACGAAAAAATTACAGAGGCAATATTTGTAACTATTTGGAAATGTATAAAGGGAAAAGTGAAGTTCTCCAGTGATCACTTCACATGCTTTCCATCCTATTCCCCAGAGTAACCATGCCAGAAATTAGCTATCAGTCCTTTCCCCACTCTTTCTTATATTTATATGCTTATCATAGAATGAATTTATGTTTATACATGTGTCAAGTGTACTCGATCATATATGTGTATGTATTGTCTATATGAGAGAGCTCATTTCTAGACTCTTCTGTTGTCTCTTCCTGTGTCTGTATCCATCCATCTTAATTACAGCTTCGAGAGCTGGGGATTTAGCTCAGCGGTGACTCGCCTGTCTTGCATGTGCAAGGTCCTGAGTTTGAGCCCTGGTACAAAAAAAAAAAAAAAAAAATTACAGCTTTGAGTTGGTTTTGAGAAGGCAGATTTTCATGTGAGATATTATGAAATACATATTTGGTCTTTATCCCTACCTCATGGCATAGAACTCCTAAAACCTTTGGGATGTCCGGAGTGATCTCTGTTTGGATGCTAATGAGTTGACTGTGGCTGGCAGCCCCAAGGGTTAGGGTTAGGGGATGATGGAGTTAGGACAAGGTAAGTATTTGGGCAGGATGGGGGCTCCATCTCCTAAAAGACTAAAGTAGCATTAAGGGTTGGAACTTCCAGCCCCATTTCCCAATCTTCAGCAAAGGGAGGCAGCCTCAGGTTGTCAGTCACCCATGGCCACTGATTTAATTAGTCTTACTTATGTAATGAAGCCTTTGAAAATCCAAAAGGACAGAGTTCAGAGAGCTTCTAGATGACAGACGTGTAGATTCCTGGGATAGCATGCTCAGAAGAGATGTGGAAGCTCTAGGTCCTTTCTCCTGTCCCTCACTCTACATATTTCTTAATGTGTATGTTTTGTAGTATCTTTTATAATAAATTAGTAAATGTGAATAAATGTGTCCCTGAGATCTGTGAGTTGTGGTGGCAAATTGATTAAACCTAAAGAGGGAACTGTGAGAACACTGATTTTTAGTGGGGTAGAAGTCCAACTAAGATAACCTGGGACTTGTGATTGGCATCTGAAGTGGTTGGGAGAGTCTTTTGGGATTGAGCCCTCAGCTTGTGGGATCTGATGCTATCTCCAGGTGGATGATTTCAGAACAGGATTGGATTAGAGGACACCTGGCCGGTGTCTGTGGCTGGAGCATTGCTTGCTTGGTGCGTGGGCACAAACCCACATATTCAGTACCTGCTGTCAGAAATGTGTTTTGAGCTGTGTACGGTACAGTTTACTTGTAATCCCAGCGGTTGGCAGGCTGAGGTAGGAGGGTCTGGAGTTCAAGGCCAGCCTGGGCAACTTAAAAAGAAAAAGTGTTGTGAACATATAGGAGAAACTGAATTTGAGGGCCCCCCCCCCGCCCTTTTCCATATGTTTTCAGATCATCTCATTATTTTTCAATGAAACATTTCATGGCTCTTCTTAGGTATGAACTCTTCCGATAATCTTTTCTTTTTGGTACTGGGATCGAACTTGGAACCTTGAGGCAGGTGGCGGAACCACTGAGCTAAATCCCCAGCCCACTTCAGATAACCTTAAGAACCAAGTACTATACAAAATAAATCATGGATTTTGACAAGAATTAAACTGAATGTACAGAGAACTGACGTTTTAGGAGAACAGACATATTTCCAGTATTGAATATTCTCAATAACCTGTTATATTTACTCAGATATGTCTTTGGTGAAAGTCTTACCCATTTCTTCCCAAGTTTATTTTTTTAAGTATTTTATAGATTTTGTTGCCATTACAAAACAATATTTTCACCTTACATCTTCTAGTTGGATATTGATGCAGTCCTGCTTTATGAAATTTCCCATCAATTCTAAGCAGACCATGGTGGTACACTCCTATAGTCCCAGCTGCTTGGGAGGCTGAGGTGGGAGGCTCATTTGGGCCCAAGAGTTTTAGACCAACTTGGGCAGCATAGTAAGGCCCCATCTTAAAAACAAAAACAAAACAGCCCGGGATTTAGCTCAGTGGTTCTGCTGCCTGCCTCAAAAGCACAAGGTCCCGAGTTTGATCCCTGGTACCAAAAACAAAAAACAAAACAACAACAGAATTCCAAGATTAGAAATAGAATCATCCAGTCCTCTCAGTTCCTTTTAGCTCTAATGATTTTTCAATTGGTCCTCTTGACTTTTCTAGTGGACAGTGACTTTTTATCACTTTATTATTGATATTTAGACATAATATCTTTCTTGTGTTGTTTTGTGGCCGGGACATCTGGTTGAGGTTGGGGGGGAGTGGTGTGATCCTGGGAGTTCTTGGCTCAAGGTTCACTGAAGGTAGGTTTCAAAGTATCTACAATAGGATGTACAACATCACGGGATGAGGGTGTGGATTAGGGTTGGAGAATGGTTTCCAGATACGCCTTGAGGAGAGAAACAACAAGGGAGCTTTCAGTGAGGCAGAGAATGACTAGTGCATAGGACAGGTGAAGTTTGGTGGTGAACCTATGGTACATGTGCCACAGTGGGCTGTTTGTATTATTGAAAGCTCCAGAAGGTTCACCATCACTGGGTTAGGAGAAGCAGAGGATGGGTTAAAGAGTAAGTCAGGGCTCAGTCAGGAGCTTCTAGGCTTTAGGGGGGCAATTACTTTATTCAGAGGAATTGAGACTTGAATGAAAGGTTTTAGGCAAAATGGCCCCCTAAAGATGTCTAGACCCCAATCCCGGGAACCTGTAAATATGTTGGCTGACATACCAAAAGGGACTTTCCAGATGTAATAAAGGATATGGCTCTTTATAGGCAGATTATTCTGGATTATTCAGATGGGCCTATGCAATCACTTGAGCCTCCAAAAGCAAAGAAACTTCGACTGGAAGCAGAAGCAAGATGCTATAGAAGGGTAAATTGGAGAGATTCAAAGAGAAGTCTAGCCTGTCATGGTTGAAGGGGAGCCATGTGGAAAGCCAGAGAAGGTCAATGGGAATAAAGACTTGGCCCCTGTTAGATAAAACAGCAAGGAAATGGGAGTTTCAGTCCCATAGCTGCAAGGACTGAGTTAAGCCAATAGCCAGAATGAGCTTAGTGTGGATTTTTTTTCTAGAGCATCCAGAAAGATGCCTAGCCCTGCTGTCTCTTGGTTCTTGACTTGTAAGACACCAAGCAAAGGACCTTGCTAATCCACACTACACCTGGACACTGGCCTTCAGAACACTGACATAATAAATCTGAAAACTACTGCAAAGGACTTTGAGCAGGGAAATAACATTATCAGATTTTGTGTTATTAAAATAGTACTGTGTGCTGTGTGTAAAATGGATTTGGAGAGTGTAAATTTGGAGGCAGGGAAACTTGTTTGTGGGAATACAGTGATGGCATGGACTAGATTAGTGATGGTGGGAAGGGAACATAATTTGAAATTTATTTGGGAGGTCACAGTTGCCAGAACTTGGTTACTGGCTGGATGATGAGGATGGAGAAGGATGCAGAGATGACTGCTGATTTCTGGCTTGGGTGCCAGGTGATGGTGAAGCTGTCCCTTGAGATGAAGGTGAGTGGGTTGGAAGATGCCATAGCATGACTTTAGCAGTTTTTATTTGTTTGGAAATTCTCTCCATAGATATTTATCATAAAGTAGAATATGTCAGTAACATGATTGCTTTAACTTCTAAGAACTTTTTTTTAAATTTTTTTTTTTTATAGATCATGTAGACAATTGTAAATCATGTGAAGATGGGACTCTTGGTATTTGTGCGCAACCTGCTGCTAGCCCTCTGCCTCTTTCTGGTACTGGGATTTTTGTATTATTCTGCGTGGAAGCTGCACTTACTCCAGTGGGAAGACTCCAGTAAGTATAGTCACTCTAGCCCATCCTAGAAACAGCCTGTTGCAGGCCAGTTATGGTTTGTCGTGCAGCTGCAGTGCTGTCATATTCTTCAGAGATGGGTAATGAGACTAATCTGAACTTTTCTCTAACTTTTGGTTAGAAATTACCTGTTTTAGTTGCTATTGGCCGAAGCATCTTTTTTTTCTTCTTTCTTTTTTTAAACTGCATGCCATGGCAAATCTTAATTCTTTTTATAAACGCGGTGAGAATGTGCTATTCTTCAATTAAAAACCCACACTACACCCATACTTCTAGTTCTTGAAGGTTTTTGTTCTTTTTAATTTCCATAGTGTATTACCACTCTCACTTCGCATTTATTGCATTTGGATTTGGTGCTGAAATTGTTTTTTCTTCTGTTCTCAAAACATTCATCTTTACTTTTTCTTTGAATTTTTTATTTTCATTTTACTATTGTCTTTGTTTTATTTTCTTTAATGAAACTTGGTCTTCTCAATATTTAATATGGAACCTGCACCTAACTAGAATACCGGCTTCTTTTCTCTCTTCAGTGACTCTTACTCCCTTTCTTCCATCTGTGCATTTGGTCTCATGTGTTACACAGCGTTTCTCCCATAGCCTGACCCCTGTGACTTTTTTCTGTTCACTCAGTGTTCCTTGTGTGACAGACTTGCACTTCACGGGTTGACATTGATGGCACCCGGTTTGTACCTCCTGTTCTTGGCTGTAGCTTGAAAGTAGTACACAGTGATCATAAGTGTTTTCCTTTTGGCTATTTTGTCTGACCTGAGCTTGATTCAGGATACACTGTGTGACCTGTCCTGATTCCCAGTGACTTGTCTTATTTTAAGTGGTTTTGTTTTTACAAACATCTACTGCATACCAGTGTGGAACCCACTTGAGTGTCTCTAGGCCTGAGGCTAAAATGAGTTGGAAGAGGCAACTGGCATTGGCCTGCCCCTGGACTGAGGCCCTAACATGGAAATTCTTCCTGTGAAATAGTTCATTTATTTCTCATGGCCCAAACTACTAAGCAGTTTCAAGCCAAGTTTTAAAATATAGTGTCTTATCTTTTATCGTTTTACATAGAATTTTTTTTTTTTTTTTTGGTACTGAGGATCGAACTCAAGTCCTTGCGCCTGCCCAGCAGGCGGCGAAACCACTGAGCAAAATCCCCGGCCCTTACGTAGAATTTTTAAGTGCCTCTTAAATGTTTAGCTATAATTATCACTAATTGCTTTATATTTCAAGAGTGTATTCAAATTTCTCTTCACTTTTTGTTTGTTTTTTGAGAAAGAGTCTCAAGGTATAGTCTGGGCTGGCCTTGATCTTGCTGTGTAATCTAAGCTGGTTTTGAATTCCTACTTCTCCTGTCTCAGCCTCCCACGTGGTTGGAATATAGCTATGTGCTCCACGTCTGGCTTCCCCTGTTTTTAAAGTCAAGGAAACTACCCATTCAAGGAGCCATTCGAGCCAGGCTCTGTATTAGAGGCATTCTCTGTATTCAGAATGGTGATTCATCTGTATAGAAAATGTATGCAAAGAACAGAGGTCTCCTTTCCCCTAGAAGGTATAACGAAGGCTCAGATAATATTTTCCCAGGAAGGGAAAGAAATTAACATTGTTGAAGACCCATTGTGTGTTAGGTATTAGGCTAGACAATTTATAAATTTTATTTCATCTGATTTAATTCTTGCTACAATTCTGTGAAGATGTCATTATATTCTCATTTTCCAGTTGAGCAAATTGCAGCACTTAGTTTAACTGGTTTGCCAAGGTAATTATTGATACTGGAGTTGAACTCTGAATTTCTAGCTTAAAACCCGGGTTCATTTTTTGGGAAAAGTATAATAAATAATGAAGACAATTATCTCTTCTGCCTGGTAAAAAGAGAGAAAAGGGGCTCAGAGAAGAGTGTCAAGAGGAGGGTGGAGAGTGGAAAAGGAGGAAAATAGGGAAAGAGAGGAAGAAAGACCTTCGAAAGAAGACTTGAGATGTTTATTACTTTGGGAAGTAACCAGATGTTGTTAACAAGTAATTTGTGTGAGCTTCAGTGGTTTATTACTAGTTCCCTGCTGTCTTTAGCATTGTTAGCTAACTTACCAGTATTCACAACCTTTCTGTTATTCTGTCTCTCAAGCCTATTAGATGTTTGATTTTGAGTAGGTTGTTTTCTGTAGCATTATTTTCCGTGCTTTAATATCAGGACAGAGTAAGAGGACCAACCCTGGATGGCTTACCAAGTCAGAGTGGGTCAAAGAAATTCAAGCAGAAGGAGCTTCTGGACCCAGTAGACTGCTAGGTTGTGAATTTTAAGCTATGGTTTAGTAATATTGAAGATGATGACACTACCTTTTTTTCTGAGGACCTTAGAGGACACTTTCAAGTTTGAAAAATAAATGCCTTTAACATTATGAAGTACTTTTCCTTCTTTTTTATAATAAAATTACCTATTGAATTCCTTCATGATAAGAAAGGAAATGAATTTTAATTGCCAAGTTATTTATTCAATAAGTTGCATGTTCCTATTATGGTCCATGTACTGTCCTAGGTAAACTGGATATAGATGAACATACCCAGTGTCATTGAAATATATGATGAATGTTTATTTTATTTATTTTTTTGGTACCAGGGATTGAACTCGGGTCCTTGAGCTTGCGCAGCAGGCAGCGAAACCACTGAGCTAAATCCCCGGCCTGAATGTTTATATTTTTGTTTTGTGTTTTGAGACAGCGTCCCATTGTGTAATTCATGCTGGCCTCAAATTTATGGTGATCCCCCTGCCTCAGTCCCCTGAGTTCTGGGATTACAAGAATGCTCCACTTTGCCTGGCTTTAAATTTTAAAAATTTATTACAACAAAAGACACATTGCCAGCAGGTATGGTGGCTCACGCCTGTAATCCCAGCACTCAGGAGGCTGAGGCAGGAGGATCACCACAAGTTTAAGACCAGCCTAGGCTTCACATTGAGTTCAAGGCCAGCCTGAACTACATAGTGAGACCCTGTCTCAAAAACAAACAAAAACAAAACAAAAAAAGACACATTGCCATTATCTCTTCTCAAAATATCCCCCCTGGTTTTGAATACACTTATCCCATGGTCCTTGGCATTTCTGAAGCAGTTCTGGAAGACCTTTACATGTGTCCTCATTCACCTTATTCACCGAATCTCACACTGTGCAACTTCTGGCTTGTCCCCAAAATCAGTATGGCCTTGAAAGGTGAATGATTTAAATTAATTGAGTACATCAAGGCAGCCACAGCAGTACAATTAAAGACACAAAAGAGGACTTTAGGACTGCTTCAGAAAGTGGCAAGAATGATGGGATAAGTGTGTTAAAAGTGGAAGGGCTAAGGATAAATCAGTGGACTTGATCAGAAGGAGAATTGTTAGCCCTAGAACAACTACTTAAATAACATAACAAAAAAGTCTCTAAGAAGCCAGCAGACAAGGACACTAAAAAGTAATTAACCCCCCAAAAGAAAGGAAATTTGGGTAATACTACATGGATAAAACTTGAAGACATTATGTTAACTAAATAAGCTAGTCACAAAGTACAAATATTGTATTATTCCATTTATATGAGGTTGTTAGAGTAGTCAAATTCATAGAGACAGAAAGCAGAATGATGATTGCCAGGGACAGAGGGGAGTGGGGAGTTAGTATTTAATGTGTAGAGTTTCAGTTTTGTAAGATGAAAAGAATTGTGAGATGAACGATGGTGATAGATGCACAACGGTGTGAATATACTTAATGTCACAAAACTGTACACTTAAAAATGTTTAAATGTTAAACTTTTTGGATGTGGTGGTGTGTACCTGTAATCCTAGCTACTTGGGAGGCTGAGGCAGGAGGATCCTAAGTTTGAGGCCAGCCTTACCAGGGCCCTGTCTCTTAAAAGAGGTGGGGATGGGCCGGGGATTTAGCTCAGTGGTTCTGCAGCCTGACTCACAACAGCAAGGTACCGAGTTCAATCCCCACTACCAAAAAAAAAAAAAGGTGGGGAGGCTGGGGATGTAGCTGAGTGCTCCCTAGATTCAATCCCCAATACCCCAGGGGTGGGGAGAGATAAAGGAAATATGAGAAAACACAAATTATCAGTATTAGGAAGAGAAATGGAGATATTACTACAAATCCTGTACACATTAAAAGGGTAATAAAGTAAGATTAGGACCAATTTTATGCTTCAAAACTTGACAGATTGGGTGAAATGAACAAATTTTTTGAAAACAATTTACTAAAAATTGACTGAAGAGGAAGTAGAAAATCTGAATGTCCCTATAAAATATTTAAAAACATGAATTTATAATAAAAAAGCTTCAGACTCAGGTGGTTTCATTGGGGAATCTTACCAACATTTGTGAAAGGATTTAATAGCAGTCTTACATAAACTCTGTGAAAATAGAAGAAGGAATACTTCCCATCTCATGGTATGAGGCCAGCATAATCTTGACTAAAATGTGACAAATATATTACAAGAAAGGCCAGTATCCTTCATGAACATAGATGCAGAAATCCTCAACAAAATGTTAGGATATTAAAACATTCAATATATAAAAAAGATAATACAACACAACCAAGGGCTTCAGAGTTGGTTCACCATTTTAAAAAATCAGTATAATCGCCATATTAGCAGAATAAAGAACAAAATATGTCTTAATATTTGCAGAAAAAACATTTGACAAAGTTAAAAAGCCATTCAGGAAAACTTTCAGCAATCTAGGAAAAGAAGGAAACACTCTTAGTCTGCTAAAGGCTATCTGAAACATATTATAGTTAGTGGCATATGTACTGGAGAAGGACTCTTTTCTCCTGGAATTTGGGGAATGGGGCTGAAAGCTCTATCTGATCATGTGATCTCTTTCCCTAGCAACCAGCCTCCATCCTGACTCAGGAACCCACCAAGAGTCATCTCATTAGAACAAAAGTTACTCCTATCACCAAGAAAATTTGTGGGGTTTGAAGAGCTTTGTCAGGAGCTAGGGTCAACAGCCAAATATTA